TTCTGATTATTGTACATTAAAGAGTAGTAACTGAACTATATTCTGTGAAATATTGGTTGAAAAATAATGAAAATTTACCGAATGGCAGCAATTCTTCGCAGGCACCTCAGAAAAAATACATTTTGCGGTGCACGTCATACCTCAGCACTGGATCATCTGAAATGAAATAACCAAAGTTTTTCCATTAATTTTTATGTCCCTCTAGGTATCCCTGTCGTTTTTCCATTTTTTTTAAATTTTTGAACTTTTTACAAGACTTGAAAGTGAAAATACCGATTTTTGGCCAAAATTCATGACTATTGTTGTTAATAATAAAAAAATTAAAATCAAAAACGAAAAAATCTCGACAGGGTTACCTCATAAATTATGTAAGGAAATACTGTAAAAAGTTTGAGAACGATCGGTTGAATAGATTTTGAGATACAGAGTGCACCGACTCAAAAAAACATCCATTTGTGAAAAACGCGTTTAAAGTTTTTCGTAGCTCAGGTAGTCGTTCGAGACCCGCCTACTTCCAAAGCTATATCTTTGTGAGTTTTGCTCCGATTGACTTCCTATTTATAGACAACATTCTTGAGTTACTATACTTTCATAATATGCAATAAAAAAACACACTTTTTTTGAACCCTCAAACTGAAGTTGTTTGACAGTGATACAAAACCCGAAACGTGTGTCAGCTGTTTAAACCAGTGTTGCCAAAAAGATAATAGCTAAAAAATCACCATTTTGATTTGAAGAGTTTTCGTTTTTAAACGAAACAAAAATCGACAAAAGTTATAATGAGACCAATTGTACAAATATAATGTAAATTGGAAATAAATAATTTAGCTAGGAAAATATGTTCTGCTTGCTGCATTAATTTTTCTATAATGCGCGTATTTTAAGCATTTTTACTCCATTGTGCAACGCAAGGAAGGAGGAGAGTCCACTAGTAATGCTGATAACAGGCAGAGGCGCCTAACTCTGAAATGTATTCTATAATATGGGTTTTTCAAATTGAAAGTGCTTTGCAGCACTCAAAGAGTTACGAGTAGCTGATTCCACTACTGTACTCGTACGCAAGAACAACAGAGAAATTTGTTTGAATTTCAAATGTAAGTATTGTCGCCACAAAAAAGAGCGTAACTAACAAAATATCAATTTATGATAAATAAAACTTCATGTATGTATATACGAATGTAAGATAAAAAGCTTTATTATCTAAATTCTCTTCTTTCCATAAACTTCCGCAAAATACTTTTTAAGAACTGTGGGAACTAAAATAAGACATTCGAATATTGTGAAGCAGATAGTGGCAGGAAATGTGTGTGAAATAGCTAAACAGCGGCAGAAGACAGAAAAAGCGCCATCTGGATAATCTCACTTGACGCTAGACGCTAGACAAGTGAACTCATTGAACTGATAGAAGAGAGAGAAAAAATTCAATATACTTGTAAGTAAGGAGAAGCTAAATGGGAATGCAATCGAATACTGGTTCAAAATATGCTTATAGCAAAAATTATATTTTTTATATGACAAGATAGAAGTCAAGTACAAAATATAATATGTAAACAAATTCCATTCTGTGTTCGATATGTGAAAAGAATTTAACAAAGTCGTGAAGGAAAAACTTTTCGAACTATAGACCAATCTTTCTGAAACTGCGATTCTAATGGGGTTTCCTGTAGGAGGAGTTATTTTGATGTACAAGGAAAAATTATTATTTTTTTTTCAAAATAAATGATTGGATATTGATTACAATGCAAATAAGAAGACATGCCATTAACAGTAGAAAACAATATTAGCCAAATGGCCGCCACGGTTACAATTATGAAATTTTCCATAACCAAATCGCAAGGTGGAGCATACAGCACTCTCACTAGCTTCACGAATTCCATCTTTGCCAACTAGGATCAACGTTGGCCTGTTGACGTAGAACTTATCTTTCACCTGACCCCAAAGAAAGATCTCTTTGGCCAATAGCTATGACCAATTCAATAGATAACACGATAGAGAAACTTTTCCCTTCAAAGATCGATGCTTGTGTAGCTCGTGGCGCCGTCTTGTTGAAATTAAATTTTGCCCTGATCAATACTATTATCCAATTCCGGCCATAAAAAATCATTTTCATCATCTTTCGATAGCGCAATCCATTCATTTTCGAAAAAGTAAGATCCAATAACCCTGGCGGATTATAACAATAAATCTTGAGTCCATCAGCCGTTCGGAGGCGACTAAGAATAAACTGTAGGCCCCTCCATTTTTTGGAAAATCAACAATAGGCACACCAAAATTTGGAGAATGAGCTTTGCCGAAAATCGTTTCATGGGTTACAAAGTGCCAAATATATCTATGTATCGGACTAGTTCTGATTATCGTTTAATAATGGGCAGACACATATGACCAAATAACTTCCTCCAAATTTAGTATGAAGCTGTATATTAGTGTATATATCGATACTTCGATATCGATACTCTCTTGCGGCACACAACCATTGAGTTCACAATGCTAACATACCGTAATTTTCTCGGAGAACTTGCGTTAAGGTATCGTTTAGCCAGACGGTATATGACCAACTCACGGTACAGGCGTTAATAAATTAAAAAAGTGCTTATCATTCAACAAAACTAAAATTTCACTAAAATACTCTATATAATTTTTTAAATAAAATTCCCAGCAGCTATTTTTGAATACACATTATCTTATACCAGTGCTTAAATGTAATTTTTGGACCTATCGAATTCTTACGAGCGAGATTCGAACAATTATTATATTATGTAGAACATATGTATATACACACATATGCATATGCATTTATGTATTCTTCTCTAAATATCCAGTGGCATATTTGCGAAGTACTCGCATGTGTAAGAATAGTATCAACAACAAACCGAGAAAAATACACAAAACTCTTACCAAACATACATACATACTCGAGTCGTCAATTTCGGGATCTATAGATTTGCAAATCCCGACTTTTTTTCATAACGTAATTTTCACGCAAGTAACTCGGTTGTTTGTTACAAAAAAAAACTTCTCATAAAAACATTTCAACTGCCATAAAAATGATTTCTTAAATACAAGAATAGCCAATATAATAATGTTCAAACATTTTATTTTATAATAACTTTAAATGTGATTGGATCTGGCAGTGAGGAGGGCAAGACGAAATATCTTATATCATCAAATATTCAGTTGCCCAATAGAAATCGTTTTTGAAAAGAAATTAATACATTTTTTTTTGTTTTATAATAAACTGTAATTAATTATGTAATTTCATTATACCACGCTCATAGAATTTCTGGCCTTTATCAGCAAAAAACCACCAAGTGCGATTTTTTAGACTCGCTCTTTTCGAAAATTTTACCATTTAATGAGTTGTGCAAAGATCGAAACGAATGGTATTCTGATGATGCAAGGTCAGTGCTATATGGTGGATGCATCAATAGTTCCCAGCCAAGCTCTCTCAGTTTTTGGCGAGGGGACCAAAGATGTGTGCGGTAAATAGTCAGCACTCTGGTATCTTGATTACCAAGTCATTGTTGATAGTCAGGGTGAGTCATAATGTCCAGATCGCAGATTGTATCCTCTGCCTTGGGACCGGCCCTTTTTAACACCATTTGTATTTAGTTAAGGCATCTTGTACAATATCGGAGTCTTCCCAATAAGAAATCAAATCTTAAATTCCATATTAAAATCAAATATTATAGCTCAACTGCTAGGAGTGAGCTCCTGGCTCAGTGTTGCTCAGTACATTGATATCGGTTTTATAGTGGAATTATAAAAAAGAGCTTTGTTTTCCAGGCTGAGTCCAGATTTCTTGCTTAAAAACCAATGTGAACAGAAAAAACTAAGCGTCATCTCCTTAATTTTTTCTTAAGAATGGCAGTACGCAACGCTAACCACTCGGCTAGTGCGGGCGTTCATTGAACGGATTAGACAATCGGAAAGAAAAATCCTCTCTTTACGAACGAAAACCAAACTCTACAAGTCCCTCAGGCCTTTCCGCCCTGCTATATTATACAGAAGTGTGGACGATATCGACATCCGCTGAGCCAATCTCGATAGTCTTGGAGAGAAAAGTTTTGCGCAAGGCGATGGAACATTGAACTGAAAGATTTATACGGCGACATTCACGTAGTTCAGCATATGAAGAGAAAGCAGCTACGCTTAGCCTTCGTCCTAATGGCGCTAAAATCACTACAGCTCTGAGAGTCTTAGACGCAGTACCCGCTAGTTAAAAAAGAGGAAGAGCAAGACATTCACTCACTCCATCAGAAGGATCAAGTGAAGAGCGACCTAGTTTCACTTGGTATTTCCAACTGGCACTTAACACCAGCCATAAACGCGTAGCTGGTGCCCACGCCAATGAAGAAGACGAAGAAGTTGCAAGTTGCTCAAAGTTATGTTGCAAGATGAACTTCGGCGCAATTCAAAAATATCACGACATTCCGGCATCAATTCGGAATTAATATTGACATCACTAATGCAACAACAACATATAATATATACTTATATATACTTATATACATACACACGTATGTAGGTGCATAAACAAAACTCTCACGTCAACAACACCGAGGTGTGATGAGCAATGGCAGCATGGGATAAAGTGTTTTTAAAATATATTTGTATTAGCAACAAATAACGACTCGCACATATTCACAATAATTGGCAGCGTTGAGCTGGCAACAGGCGGGTGTATGTAGTCGCCAAAATAAAGTCAATACACTAACGTATGCATGATGTATGTGTGTATGTACATAGGTAAATACTGTGCTGTTGTACACCGTCAGATAAATCTTTCATGAGCATATATCCCAAACTGGACGCTGGAGCGATTTGTTTATTTTTCTTAGTCTATTCAAGTTGTTGCTACATTTTTTGGGCCTTTGTGGTGAAAATCATCATCGCAGCGGTTCACTTTCAGTTTCGTTGCGAACGCGTGCGGTATTGAATGCCAGGCCAGAGAGTTTGCAAGTCATTTGTATGTTTTTTTTTTAATTTTTATAAAAAATATGATTAATAGAAATGTTTGAAGAACACATATAAGTAATGCGAACTCAACGAAAATCGTCAAAAAGTTGATATTTATGTGACAATGCGCGTTTGAAAGCTTTGAAAATATTTGTACATGTTACACACATAGAAACGCATATGTTCATAAATGTGCGGTATCCGTGATGCTAAATAATAAAAATAAAACAAATCTCTTATATGCATATAAACAAGTGAAATGCTTTGTGGAAATCTCTTAAACATATTTTCCAGTGAATAAGCAAACTTTAAGTGAAACTTTTGTAGAATAGTGTAAAATTGGAAAATTGGATACAAATCTTTTGCGGAAAACAGTGTACAAAAATTATACAGATTTTCCAGGTAACGGAAATTGTTATTATCTTTGCGACAGTTAAACAAAAAGGAAATTGCAAATCCTCAAAATGCATTCCACGACATGTAGCGCGCTGGCGTTAAACTCCACATCAAATGCATCTGCATCCAACACGTAAGTACGCATTATGCAAATAATTTTACGATTTGCCATTTACGTTTAATAAATTTCAAAATTGTACAAGCGCTAAACTTGCGAAGATCCCAATTAAGAGTTTTTACTTTTTGTTGAGTTTTCCCTTCATTGATATCAAAGTTATAGCTCCACAATAAGCGAGGTTGGGTTAAATTCATTAGTGCGTGAAATACTTTGTTTTTGAGTCAACCGAGAAGCATGCAAACGAATTCATAGAATATTAACCTACAACAGGGCATGAAGAACTTTTTCGGCATCCGACTCATGAAACAGGGTACTAATGAAAAAACTATAGAAGCCCAGTGAGGCAGCTTCCGAATTCGATGGCAACCGCTGACTTTGCTTCTTTTAATGCTGGCATGCTGGAAATCGATTGCCAATTAGATTTTTTGCCTAAAACCATGACGGAGTGCCATGAAACTTTCTTAAGCAAACATAATGAATCCTTTTCTTATAGACTTTCTTTGGTGCGCCCTCGTTTACATAAACTTCCGTGGTATAAAGTTAAAAAATTTTCGAAACAAATTTCATAATTTAATTTACGGCCAGAAATATATTATTACATATATTGATTCGAGGAAGAGTTAAAAGCGAATCCAAAAGCCTTTTGTAAATGTATTCGCTACAAGAAAGGTTGTTCCTACATATATTCCCTCTTGCATGTGCTACTCAAGAAGGAGTTCAGAAAGAGCATAGGCAGGATTCGAATGTTTTCAATACTAATTATGACGGGAAGGTTGGCATTTTCTGCTCGTAGTGATCTGCAAATTTCGCAGACTTTAGATTTCGGTAGTTTGTCAAACACGAAATTAAATGTTTCGAATGGATTTGCTGCTTTGCAATTATGTTTCAATGTCAATGGCTGGGTTTTCTTCTTATGGAGTGCGATTCGTCTATTTCCGTTCCCATAAAATATATTTTTAAACATTAGCACGACGTGAGAAATTATTGGTCTAAAACCAAATTATTGAATTGTTCGAAGCTTTTTAAGAAAATAGTCAAGGACTAAGGGCTCCATTAATATGTGCCATTTGTTAGTGCTTGTTCTACTATGACAAATCTAGCTATTCCCTCTCATTATTGCATTTCAGCTTTTGAAAAAGCTACACCGAGCTGATGTCGCGTATACCGATTTTTCCAACGCCTTCGATACTGTCCCGCTAAGCATTCTATTAGGAAAGCTAGAGTGTCTAGGTATACTCTCTCTTCTTTTCTCTCTTGGCAATCATAATCTCTCCGGCAGATTCTCTTTATTTGTACTCAATTGTTTCGGGTTTTGATATTGGAACTTGCTCATAATATTCGAACTTCTTGCTTTGTGCTGACGATTTAAAACTATTTAGATGTTTTAGCAGTATTTCTGATGCTTTACTTTTACATGATGTTCTTAACAATTTAGATAATTGGAGTAATAGGAATAATTTGCACCGAATATAAGAATATTTCCTGCTCAAAGTGCCCAGATGTACTAATGTCGACTTAATATCTGCTTGATAATAAAATTTCTTCTTTGAATGAGTTTTGAATAGTAGGGTATTGTTTCATGCGGCATTCACCTTTGTTTTATCACAACAACTGCATTATGTCTAAAGTGTATTCTAACCATGCTTTCTTATGGCTTCATATGATGGTGATGTCCGAGATTAATATACATTTAAAATTCTATATAGTTCCTAAGTACGTTCAAAGCTGGAGTATGCTAGCGAGTTTATTCTACATATCGTCCCAGACTTGAAACCACGCACTTGCTCTTCGACTTTCTATCCAGTTGTTACTATTTATTAATGACATCATCAATAGCTTTGTAGACTACCCAGAGCTGCTTGAACAAATCAGCTTTAATTTTCCACTTTAAGGTCGAATTATACGTTTTATTTAGAAGTATTTAAAGCGAATTGTCTTCATGAAGATTGCATTGCTAGAGCTCGCTATGAATTTATGCAGAAGTCTTGATATTGATTTCGTATCTAGTCTAGTCTAGTCAATAATATCAAGATGCCACAAAAGTAAGTTCAGGCGCAGGTTGCTAAATAACTGCATAATTTGTATGGTCATACGACCTTAAACGAAACATAGTGTCGTAGTTGGCTTGTCGATTTCAGTTCGGGAGATTTTTCATTAAAAGAGAAGGCACGTTCAGGTCGACCAAATGAAGTTGATGATGACGATATCCAGACTTTAATCGAATCGGATCGTGATGTAACCAAATGTGAGAAAGAAAGGATAAGTATACCAAAATCAACTGTTCGTAATCATATACGTCGGCTTAAACCGGTTAAAAACCCTTGAGAATTGGGTACGGCATGAATTGAAAGAAATTCATTTAGCAAACCGCTTCAACACTTGAGATATGCATCTTAAACGCAATGAATATGATCCGTTTTTGAGCAAATCATAACTGGAGATGAAAAATGTATTATTTACAATAACGCTAATCGAAAACGAGTTTGATCCAAGCATGAAGAAGCGCCACAAACCAGTTCAAAGCTGATATTCACCAAAAAAAAAGTTTATGCTGTCAGTTTAGTGGAATTGGTATATTTTGAGCTGCTTCCAAGGAACCAAATGATTGATTCGGATATCTACTGTAAACAAATTAAGTCAAATTGTATACGCCCACCAACGAGAAGCGGCCAGAATTGGTCAATCGTAAAGGAAAGTGAAATATGACACCACCAGGAATAAACTACACTGCACACATCTTTGGTGACTCGCCAAAACTGAGAGAGCTTGGCTGGGAACTGTTAATGCATCCACCACATAGCCTTAAGCTTACATTGTTTGAATACATGCAGAACTCATTTAGCGGTAAAACTTTCGAAAAGGACGAGGCTAAAAAATCGCACTTCGTTCAGTTTTTTGCAGATAAAGGCCAGAATTTCTATGAACGTGGAATATTAATGTTACTGGAAAGATGGCGAAAGGTCATCCAAAAATATGGAAACTACAAAATTGATTAAGGTTCATTATAAAATTTAAAAAGTTTTATTTACATTCTTTCAAAAAAGCGCAGATTTCTTTTGGGGCAACCCAATAAAGAAATATATGAAAGTGGAAATTAAAAAAAAAATTGCAAAGCTCAAAAAATACACTTTTTTTATTGACAGTTACAAATGAGATTTATTTAAATAGTATCTGTATCACGCCGAAATATTGATGAGCACAAGTTCTGCGCATGCTCTCCCTTCTTAGGCATCCAAAATAGTTATAACTACTTTAAATATTTTTCCTTCGTTCAACTTATGAAAGTTTATGATAATTTGTATCGATCAGTTCGGTTCTGAGAAACCAAATGCCCCGCACTATGCAAATAAGGTTTTCAGACAGACGAATTTAAACACTTTCGCGTCGCATAACAAATTTTTTAGGTATCGGAAAATATTTATCGGATTAGCTTCAAATTTTCAGTTGAAAAAAAGATTGTTTAGATAATTCTAACAGCGTATAAGAATTACGGTATGAGGCCATGTTCGAACCCTTAAGTGGGAAGGTGCCGCTGCACAGCTCCTGCTGTCTTTCGCAACCTGCCTTTTGTTGCTCTCAATAATGCATTCGTTGTTTCAAGATTAAAATCGTAAATCGGTTTTAATTTTTTTTCTCTTTAAAATGTTATTACAAAGATATAAAAAACACGATTGAAACTTTTGAAAATATTAAAACCTTTTGCCCTCTATTCTACACAATTCGAAGAATTTTATAAGTTGATTAAAAAATTTTTTTTTGTAAATATCTACAGTGGGATTACCCCTTAACCACATTTGGATTTTCCTTACATAAAGTAAAAACGATCTGCATGTACATAAATATTTATATTTATATGACGAGAAGGCTGCAGCCGCACCCGCCAGCTAAACTTTGAGTTGCTAAGTGAAAATGGAGTGCGAAGTACAACAATTCATTCATAGATAAATAGTACCCAATATTGTAATATTGTTGAGACACTTATGCGCCAACTCGATACAACCAGCCTGTGCGAGAATGGATATGCGCGTGGGTGTGTGTGTGTACCGCTGTGAGGCGCACGCCCCTTACAATCAAGTGGCGGTGACGTGATGCTAAATAATTTATTAGTAAACATAAAATATGCACAAGTGTTGAACCTGTAGAAATTTTACACGTTTGTAATTTTAAAAATTAAGCGTTTTTGACTGTGCCATTTTTACCATTTACTGCATGAAAGGTAACTCAGAAATGAAGGGTGTTTTTTTAGACATACGATTGTCAAGACTAAATAAATAAAATGCTTTGATTTGATACTATAACCAAGAATTGAACGCCACTGATGGTTCGAGCAAATTCCAGCCGAGAGGCCTAATTTTCGACCACTTTTTGCTGCAGTCTGCGCAGTCACATAAAATAATACACCGGTGTTGAATCTCGTTATCTTGAAGGCCACGAAGTTTCCGTTAATTTATTAATTATTTCGTTGGCTGTATGACCCGTAGTGCTGTCTTTTTAGAAGCTAAGGTTATTTACATCACATCCTCCATGACACGAAAAAGTCAATAATCATAGCTCTATAGCGTTCCTCATTGACTATAGCAATTTTGCCGAAATATGGACCAATTATTAATTCTACACATAGAGTGCATCGAACAGTGACTTTTTGAGGATGTAACGGTGTCTTTATAATGACTTTTGGATCACCATCATCCCAAAGGTATGATTGCAGACAACGATCTGAAGTAAGTCTATTCATTATGAAATGACAAACTAAACTGTGTATTAATCCAGTATTCGCTGTCAAGAAGACCAAATCCAATGAAAACAAGACGGTAAAAAGACACCTTTAACAAATAAACTTAAACATAGTGGTCGATTATATTGTTAAGCTCGCAATAATTGACTCCATAAATAGATGTGTTAAATCACACGATCTAGGGGACCAATTCTGATCCCCAAAACGAGACAGTAAACGATGAACTGGAAATGTCTCATGAAGTTATAAGACTTCAGTTGTTGTTTCAATTGAATTTTGC